ATAATATCTCAGTTTTATTTAACGATATATTCAAGGTTTTTATCATTCAGGGTCCATGGAGGTTGTGCATTGAATCTTCAGCATGGTTGTAGAAGATATGATTCACAGAGAAGAGAATAGATAAAAATAAGCATGCAGCAGTTTGGCGCCGAATCATCAGAACTCACCATCTTATCAACAAATGAAAGTCATTCTTTATTTCTCCAGCAAAGCAGTTTCATATAAGATAAATAGCTTTCAGTCAGAATAGCCTAACACGCAATATGCATCTTTGTGACATGTATATTCTAATAGTACGTTAGACTGTGAGATTAAAATCAGAAAAATCTCAGGACTGTGTGTTGACAACAACCAGTAGTCAAATCTGCATTTGCCCACCTTTTTCATCACCCAGACACTGGCTTTGCGTGTTTTATGTGTGGATATTACTAAAAGATTAATTTATAATGACCTTCCAGAACAACGTCAAAAAGTGAAAATAGATTGGGGGGACCTTCCCTAGTTTTAGATCAAGCATTGAAGGTCATTTCATGCTTTCGAGGTACTATGTTATGGTGCAGAGACAAGCGTGCACTAGAACGTGTTTCTGATAGATTTAGGAGAGTGGGATTTAGGCATCTGACCTTGGGAGAGCCACTGACACACTTGGGTTTTAGTGTCCCATCTTGCAAAGGAAGAAATTGGGTGAGATAGTTTATAAAATTATATCCAACCCTAATATTCTATGAGCTATAAAGCATTATTATTTTCTTAATGTGGGAAGTGGATGACTGAGGAGGGAGTTGGGGCAAAGCGATTAAGCAGAAATAGATATGTGATGTCTGACCATTCGGCTCCTGAACCCACAGGTTTCTGCCTGAACACCTTGCTTGCACACACGCTCAGGTTCCTTTGACCCTGTCCCAGGCTACTCACAGCAGTCTACACTTCTCAGGGGGTCGCATTGTTGCAAGGTTTAGTTATCACTAAATATTAACTTCCATTATTAGTGATGGAGAACTCAAGTGGATCCTTGAGAAAATTGCCAAAGTGCAGAAGCCATCAATTTACAATTGTGCATTTGGTTCTCATATTTACAGGTGGAGGAAAATACAGTGATCTCTCAGTTGTCGAACGCAATTTGATCCAAATTCTTGTTCTAACATCAAAAGGTTCAAGAACTGAACATAATTTTCCCATAAGAAATGAGGGGGAAATCAAATAATTGGTTCAGGAAATCAAATAATTGCACTCAAAATTTCATCTTTTCAAGGACTTGAAATCGCTATGGGGGTTTTTCATCTCACTGTGGCAGGTACGTTATCACCATTGAGTTGCCTCTGATGTATCCAAATTAATAGTTACCTTGCAATCTCCTTGATGGTCTGTCTGGGTTCTTAATTTCATGATTAACAATTTCACACCTTTTGCTACATTCGCCATTTTAAATGTTGATCATGATCACACCCATGTTGTGTTCGGCGCCCTGGTTCCAGTTCTGCAGGACATCCTTTTGTTAACCCTATGGTGGCTGTCACCGTTTTCCACTTACCTTAGTTGCTGGTGGCACCACTTCTTTTGGAGCCATGGTTGTGATATTTTACACAAAGTGCCCCCCAAAAGCAGCATGACGAGTGTTTAATGCATGAATGCACGCAGTGTACGTTGACAGAGTGAGTGGTGCGTGGACTGAAGCCTCCCCCCTCGATATGCCAGGCCAATGAGTCACTCATGCTTGGCCCAGACAGGTTCCTTTCAAGTCAGCGTTTTGGCTGAAGAACACCAAGCCAATTTGTTTTTGAACTTCACTGTTCAAATAGTGGGAAGCTTGAACTTGGAGCCATTTGATAAGGGAGGTATCACTGTACTTGTTTTTTGTTTTGGTTGTTAATGGCAGACCAACCCATGTGTCAAATCCATTCTGACTCAGTGTCCCCATGTCGAGTTTTATGAGGCGGTACAGTACATCTTTCTGAGAGGAGACAACCTCGTCATTGTCCTACATAGCAATCGACGGTTCTGAATTGTTAGCCATATGGTGAGGCACCTAAGACATAACCCGTGGGGCATTCTGGAATCCCTTTTAAATAGATTGCTTTCGATGAAAACCCCACCTCTACTTCTTGGCCTGGTTTCAATATACCTTGAAATAGTCCCAGATCTGTAAAATGACAAACTGGCTTCTGATGTATCATCAAGACAGATTAATGATTAGAAAAGATCATCTTGCTTAAGTAGAGGGTCAGTGAAACGTGAGGAACACTTGGTGGGATGGATTGATGCAGGGGCAAAAACAACGCACCCTAAGCCACCCATCATCATGAAGCTGGTAGAAAACCAGACGCGTTTTCTCCAGCTATACACCGAACAGCAATGGGTAAAACTTAGAAAACAATCACCTACAAATGTTCACACATGGCCACTCCTCCTTACCTTCCACGTCAGTCTCAAATGAAAAAAGGCGAGTATTGACAAAGACGCGGGAACATTAAACACCAAGAAGCGACAGCAAAGCCGCAGCATCTATTTATTAGCTAAGCTTGGTGTAGAAAGAAGTTGTGTCCTGAAATGACAAGAGGTGAAGGAAACGGCCTCCTTTACCTGGCCAACCCTGCTGAGTTAGTTAATTGTGCCAGCCTGGCCGATAATCACATGTGGGGCTGGTTGAAAGGCGGAGGGATAAATGGGTGGTGAAGCCTCGCCTTTCTAGTTCTCGGGTCTCTTGTTTTGTGATGGTTGCATCGGGTGCAGCTGCCTTAGCAGTTCCCTGCTTCAGCTTGCAAGATTGACTTCCTCCAAGACATCCCCAAGGAGAAGCCGCATGGATCTATCCCGATGCAGCCCTGGGTGCTGGAGCAGCCATGTGGAGACCCCTGCCAGTGCTGAGATGCTTACACGTTCACTGACTCAGCTTTCCTCCTGCAGTCGGCATTATTGCCTCTGTTTTGTGAGGTGAAGGACTTTGTGGACTGGTGTTGGGTTAATGGGTTAATGTTGGACTTGTGGGCTTGGGCAGCATTGGGTTGGGATGTTTTTCGTGATGCACATTTTCTTTGCATAAAACTCTCTCTTATACATGAGTCACTGTGGATTTGTTTCTCCAAAGTACCTAGACTAATACACCTGCGATCAGCGCACACTGCTCAAGTTTGTTTGGGCGGGACGGGGAGAGCAAATTGGCTACTTTGTTTGCCTCTGTGACCCTGTCTCCCTCTCTTCTCCATCTCTCAGCCTCCACAACTTCAAAGAAAGCCTTTAAGATTTTAGGCTTAATGGTGAAATCAGTTCTGCTGGGGCAGATTATTCCTGCATGTGGAGGTTCTTTGAAAAGGATAGATTTCTATGTGGAGGTTCTACTGTAAGTAAGATAAAAGGTAGGAAGTGTCTCAAAAAATGTGTATGCCACCCTGTTGGTCTGCTCGCTCCCCGGCCCACTGTTCAAAGTCCTAGTTGCTCTGCACAGGGGAACGATGGCGCTTTTGTTTCCTGTAGAGTTTACGTCTTGCAACAAACAAGGGCAGTGCTAGCTTGTCCTAGAATATCACTTTGCGTGGGAAGAACACAGTGGCCGTGAATGTGATGTTCTTGGCAATAAAGACTAGTGCCCCTCTGCTTGTTTTATGTAACATAAATGGAGGGTATAGGAGAGCCAGGGAAAGGAGAGGCAGGTATCCTAGATCCTAAATCCAACTTTCCTCTTCCTTCCCCATTCAGCCTGCATTTGGTTAGGAAGGAAAGCATAGCATCGCAAAATCTGGGTCAGAATCTAAATTCTAGAACTCACAAAGTGTGTGAACTTATAAAAATTCTGTATCTCATAGAGTTTTCATCATAGAAGTGAGGATATTAATGTTATCTCATAGGGTCATGGTCTTCCTTGAAATAAGATAATTTAAAAAAAGAAAGAAATTAGATAATAACTCTAAAGTACTTGGTCCAAAGATTTCATTCATAAAACATGTTCCAAAGAAAGATATGTACTATTAGCTATTATTAGGATCCCGGGTAACATAGTGGTTACTCGTTGTACTAACTGAAAGGTCAGTAGTTCGAACCCACTAGTCAGCTCTGCAGGAGAAAGTTGGGACTTTCTACTCCTACAGAGTTACAGTCTCTGAAACTCGCAGGAGCAGTTCAACCCCAACCTCCAGGGTAACCATGCATCAGAATTAACTCAATGGCAATGAGTTTGCATTTTGGTTATCAGTTATTGCTACTCGTTGGAAAAAAAATGTTAGATCAGATGATCTAAATTCATTTACAAGTTTAAAATGAGCCAATGCCTTCTCATTTTTCCCCCACATAAAATACTTTTTGCAGTTTTTGCATGCCCCTCAGCAGAGAGCTTTAGCACCAGATCAGATTGAATAAAAAGTGAAATTTGGATTCTGGATTGGCCATTATATCAATAAAAGCCACCCTGTTTTTACAAACCCAATAGGGCTCCCCAGTATTCTACCACCAGTGAAGCTGCAGGCTTTATTCCAGTTTATATTACAAATACAGAGAACCATCTCAGATAATAAAAGTGAGTGTGGACATTTTGGCAAGCTTTATAACATTTTTAAAGAATACTATAAACGTACACAGGATGTGACTATATGCTAATGAAACGAATTTCCCTATTCAGGGTGAAGGCTCATTAGCTTAGAGTCATACTCTGTGCTGTTTTGCAGAAGCTATGTCTGACATGTCTCAGTAATGGCTCATGCTGTCATAAATATTTGTCTCTACCTCCCTGAGTATTTGAGACTGCAGGCATCCACTTGCATGGAAGTTAATAGCCTTTCAGAATTGAAATGAGGTGCCGAGAAAAGTCCTTTGATATCATAAGGAGAGGCCAATCAGGAGAAATGATGCATTTTCTAATTATGGACTTCTCCCAAGTCAGGATTTCAAAATTTACATGAGAATACTTATTTTATGGAAAATAGTGCTTTATATAATTCTCAGTTAAGAAAATAGGGGTGATCGTTTTTAAGGTCTCTCTATTAATAATAAGGGCCCGCGAGCACACTTACGTTCTTCATCAAGGAGATTTGTAGCAGCCGAGAGTAGCCTCATCCTGTCTTCTACATTTTCAATTTTTAATTCAACAAGATGACTCTCTTTTATATATTTTAAATCTTCTAGGGTCTGATAACCATTGAGCAAGAGTGTTGAGGAGTATTCCTGTCGAAGAAAAAATATATAATATAGTTAGATACCAATATTTCAGTTTTAGTTTGTTTTTCCCTCCTCCAGATTTAAAGCGAGTATACAAATGAAGATGAAAATCAAGTGGGAACGTATCTTTTGAATAACTTGTACTCATTTTATTAGTACTCATTTTTTTTACATGTGGATACTAAACCATTAAGCAGAGAGAGGAAGAGGATGTTTATATTACCCGGACCTTTTGGAAACATCAAACCCACTGCTGTATCAAGCCATAGCGACCCTGTAGGACAGAACACAACTGGCCTCGTGCGCTTCAGGGACTATGCATCTTTAGAGAGAGAAAGCCTTATCTTTCTCATGTGGAGCGGCTGGTGTTTTTGAACTGCTGACTTTGTGGCTAGCAGCCTGCTGTGTATACTCTACACCACCCTGGTTCCTTTTCCTTTCTCAAGGAGAACCTATAGAAGTCCTTACTCTTGGATTATTCTTTGCTATATTTCAAAATAAATCAGTCTTCTGATTTCAAAATCTGTATGTGGTAGATATTACCACAGCTCTAGCTAGGATAAAAATGGTACTTCCTTAAAATTTCCTCTCATTTTACTTGATCACAATTTCAATATCCTATTTTTGTTACTAAAATGGAATAAGAGGAAGTATAAAAGTTTTATGTAACCGAGATTAATTTATTACCAAACTTCCATTTTTTAAAGCTAAAAACAAAAATAGAAGACATGTGGTGATTCTTTTAAAACCATGTATTCAAGAAGGAGCAAATGACTTGAAAGAAAGACCAAAATTCCTATTCATCAACATTTCACTGTGGGCTTGTAAGTTATTTAACTGCCTTCAGCACTGGTTTTCACATGAGTCATAAAAGAAGTAGCAAAAGCGATATTTCAGCCCACATTTGCTCCGTGGGAGAGCTCACTTGGGGAGCACCAGAACGGTAGTTACCCTGGAAATTTTAACAGCTGTAGTCACAGGCAGAAACAGAACTGGATCATTCAGAACACTTTAATTAGCTTGATAAATTTTGTAAACTTTCAAAGAGTTGCTGAATTAATTTTAGAAATGGATTGGTAAGTAGTAAATGGAGCGAGACTATGTATATTGATTGTATGCACAAACCACTTAACAGAGTAGATATTTCAAAAATATTTTACTAATATTCATGTAGCACTGATGAAATACTTAGAAGTATGAAGGGATTTTAAGATGGTCATGGAAAAATGAAATTTAAAGATAATAGAATTTTCATCATGTATTTTCTGAAGTCCCTTCATATAAATAACAAACTTTTCTTAATACAATAATTTTGAGCCTATGATCTATTTTCCCCAATAAGTTATTTTAAAACTATTATACTTAGTGATTTTCTCTCAACTTCATTTTGATTTCTGATTTAAATAAAATAATTTTTTCCCTTTTCTCCCCCATTTTCACTTCACTGTTCATAAAGCTTTACTCTTCATGCTGTTTTCATCATTCACATTTATACGGTTTGTCTGGAACTTTTATTCTCCTCCACATTTTGATTATTCATTGCACTTTTGCAACATTAACTCATACTATCACCGCTAAGAACTATTAGGGTTTAGTCCAAAGGATGTTACACGAAGATCTTTCCTTACATAATAAAGTCATAAGGGAGAAGTAAGACATGTTCTTGGAAAGCTAGTTTTCTGTTGCTGTGTCTCTTAGTATTTTTTAACACCAATAAAAAAATACTGAATGAAAGTCAAAAGCACAAACTGAAATTGAGATTATTTACCTGAAGCAATCTGTAGAAAGATTTTAAAAAGAAATTTACTTTTCATAATCCCACGATAAATATGAATTTAAAAAATAATTCTAAAAGAAACAATAGTGGTAGGATGTGTCCATCACAGGATTGTTCATAGATTTTTTCCCCCCTTAAGTATGCCATCTATATGCAACCCAAGCTGAGAAGACCGTTGGTTTGCTTACCTGAAGGTGAAGTCTCTCTAAAAGCTCTTGTAGCGTCTTTGGCTGTTCTCTCTTACTCCCCCGGTGTGGCTTTATTTTCTTGGGAACACTTTCCTCTTCTGAGATAACATCCACATAAATAAACTTGAAAGTTCCCACCTTGTTGTTTAACATTCCACTCCACATTCCCATTGGTGTTTTGCAAATTATATCTATGATATCTCCTTTCTAGGGGCCAAGAAATACCCAATCAGATTTCAGAGAGCCCTGGTGCTTTGTTAGTTATTAAATAGAACAAAATCATAGAGAATTAGAAATAAGAGGACTACACTAAAGAAGTTTTGGTTCAAAAAGTAAAACTAAGATGAACTATCCTTAAATTAAAGTAAGTTACTAGTCATATGAAGACAATTTAACATGCTTTCAGAAGAGCTCCTAAATATGTGTGATGACACATTCTTGTCAATGTCATCATGTTAGTTTCTATTTGTGGAGAAGAATATAATTTACAAAGCACTTTTGCATAAACTAGTTCATTTTACGCTTACAGGAAACTGCTGATATAAATATGTTATCATCATGGTCTTTGAAATATGACAATAAAAGAAGCATGCATATTAAATGAATTCCCAAGAATGTACATGATACTCTTTTCACCCACGTTCTCTGAGCAATATACACAGCAAAGCCCCAAACATCATTCTTTGAGGAGCTTCCCAACTGGGAAAAGAGAAGTGAAAGAGTTCTACTACTCTGCCTGTGATTCTAGTTCATCTGAAAAACTAATCTTCAGTATGAAATAAATAGGCCCAACGTATTTCATTCACCTCAAATAATAAAATGATTCAAAACCCACCAGATATGTATGAAAAGTGTACCAATTGTGCGATGTGTTTTTTATTCTAGATGAGATAGTATTTAGGTTGAGTTCTGCATGCTAGTTCGAGTGGAAGCATGACAAAGAAACACATTGAGAGGAACAAAGAAGATTGGTCTTTCTGCGTTACTCATGCCAGGGACTCTTCTTGGCTAATAACTGCTAGCTATTGGCAGGAGTAGACTCCCCATGGCATTTGGCATAGTTCTTAGTAAATAAAATGGATTTCTATAGACATCCTCTTTTGTGTCTTATAACTTCCTGCCTCAGGACGGCCTTATGCAGTACAGTTTCTCTGGCACTTTGAGGGAACTGCTCTCAAAGAAACAAAGCAGTGAGTTTGCTACCAAAATAATATTTTGTCTTGCTGCTCCATGAATGCGTGCTCTTCAATATAAACTAAAAGCTGTATTTCTACTATTAGACTTCTGATTTGTACCATCTGTCTCTCTCATCCTGTGAGCTGTTTGTCTGAGTTCCTGCCTTGAACCACACGGAATCAAATTCTAGAGAAGATGGTATCGGGTAAGCAAATGGCGAAATGCCCACAAAGCTCTCAGAGCAGTTTCTAGACATGACATCCCTTTGCTGCATTTTTCCTATTACCCTCTTAGCTAATTCAAAAATTAGTTAACTAATTAATAAATCATATCTAGGAAGGCCCAAATTCACCAAGCAAACACAAAGACCCAATTTTATTCTGGATCAGACCCTGGTACAAATGTGTGAATTCAATCTGAATATAAGGCCGAAAAGCATTTTAAGCTGAGTGAGTTTGGTAAACATAACTCAAAGACAGCCCCACTCCATCCACAGATCTAGTTGTTTGTACTTGGTGGACACTCAATGCCATGGCCTCCTTTAGAGCGTGGTTGTGACTATGAACATGATGGCTATCACACTCATGATTATATTACATTAGATGACTATGGTAGTTACATAATCTGGTGTCAATTTGAGAGGATTACGAATGAGTGGGTGGAGTCTAGCCTGTCAATCAAGATATAACCAATGAGGCCTCTTGGTGGGCATGGCCTTTTCCTGAGAATTCTGAAAACCCTGTAATTTTCTCCTTAGAGGAGGGAGACACACTCTCTCTTGGCTCACTCCCTTGGAGACTCTCTACTGACAAGACACATGGCACTACGCTGATAGACCCCGTGCCCTGGGAACTGGAGAAGCCACGTGGAAATCCTTGCCAGTGCTGAGATGTTTACAATGCCACTGGATCCAAAGACTTTCTATGCACAGGACAGTGATTGTCCTGCATTTGGCATCATTGCATATGCTTCTTGAATCTGAAGAGGACTTTATAGATTGGTATTGGATATATGGGCTAATATCGAATTTATGGGCTTGGAGTGGATTGGGTTGGGATGCTTTCAATTACCCTTTATATAAAACTCTCTCTTACGCACTTATGAGTCTCCCTGGGTTTGTTTCTCTAGTCTACGTAGACTAACACAATGACAGAAGAGACTTTTCAGATGGATGAATACCAAAATTAGTTGCTTTTGAGTTCATTGGATAAGTTTCACTCTGTTAGTGGGACCCCTAATATATATATATTTGTTTGTCTACTGCAAATCCAAGAGCATTAGCTTCCATGTTATGCAGAGGTTCATATAACAACATGGTCCCTGGATGATCTCCAACAACAGAGCAGGGACTCCAGTTGAGCAACCACAAGAAGCTGAATTCTGTCAATAGCCAGAGAGCTTAGAACACGATGCTGCGACTCTGGTGAGGGTGCAGCTGTGTCTGATACTTTGACTTTAAGCTGGTGAAACCCTTCAACAGAGAACCCAGTTTAGTTGTGCCCAGAACTGAGAGAGAATAATAATTCATGTGATATTAAGCCTCTGAGTTAGTAGTAGAAAGAGGACGGCATTCTGGAGGATGATCTCTAGTTACTCTCAACAGCTAACTTAAAAAGTACTGGAGGATGCTGCCAAGATGGCTCTCCAAAGATTTTTTGCTGACACATTCGCATCTGATGTCTCCATCTTCTCTTCCTCTCCTTAGCTTTATCTTTTGTCCTGCAAGAACGAGCCAAATTGGGTACCTCCAGCAGCCCGTGTGGATTTTAGTTTTCAGAAAATGCCAGGCCCCCGGCCTAGGCTCTGAATCTACTTGATCTGCAGCCCTGAAAAACCAACTGTACAGTCATGGAGGAGGTTCCAGTTTATAGAAATTCTACAGGGTTGAGTAGCCCTGTCTCTGCAACCTGGACTGGAGCAGATGCCAAATCTTTCTCCATCGGAGCTGCTAGTGGGGTAAAACTGCTGATCTTTCAGTTAGTAGCCCAAGGCTTTAGGCACTTCATCCACAAGGATCTCTGTACCTGCAGAGCAGCACCTACCAATAAGAGCCCCCAAAGATGACCCTCACCCAGGCCCTACATGTTTCACTCAAACGCTTTCCACAAGGAGCCTGTTCTTAGTTCTGCTGTTGGGACAGACACACTTGTGTCCCACTGCCTGTCCCACTCATGAAAGTAGATCACCAACCAAACCCAACCCTCTGCCATTGATTCCCTTGTGACTCAGAGTGACTCTAAACAACAGTGTAGAATTGCTGTGGGTTTCTGAGACTGTAACTCTTTACAGGAGTAGAAAGTGTTGTCTTTCTCCTGCAGAGTGGCCAGTGGTTTCAAACTGCTGCCCTTGCAGGCAGCCGTCCAACTCATAACGACTGTGCCAATTGGGTTCCAGAAAGAGATCACAGCACAGTATTTTGTAATCCATACAGCAAGTAGAGATAATGCTGCCTTACCTTGATTTTGAGAGAGTCTGTATCATAAGGGCTTGGTGTGAAATCCGTGTGTACTCTGGCACGACCACAGAATGGTCCCGTATAGGGACCTTCATCATCAAGCCGAAAGCTGTCCCGGTTACTATTCCCATCAGAACAGCTGGTTATTCCACCTGCAGAAAGCAGCGGTTAAGAATTGTTACAGAGAGCTCCCCATGTTCTGAGCCAGGATGTGGACACGAGAGAAGGATGAAAATACGGACGCATTTCATGTCAACCTTCTGCAGGGATTCTGATGCCTGCTTCCTATTTGTCACTCTCCGTGAGTGACCTCTGTCTGAGCTATTTCTGACCTTTCTCCAGCCAGTCTGGCTCCTGTCATTAACCAAACCACCCTCTCACTTTGGTCACCATGATTTGATTCAGTAATACAGTGCAAACGTGATACACAGGTAGATGGTTTAGGCTTAACCTCTGTTCAAATCAGACAATGATTATTGTACCTGTAAACCAAGACAGAAGGGGAGAGCAGCACTTTGAACTTTGTGTGGTACTAATGTCAGGGTGGTCAAGGTCTGAGACTGTCAGGTTCACCACAACGTATCACTGTTGTCTCAAAAAATGTTCCCAGTTTCCCATTGTGCACCAAAGGCCACTGTGAGGCAACGTCTCTGCACATAAGGGCGACACTTTGCCTGTGCCAGTGTGGTGAGAGGAGGAAGTTCTTTCTGGAAGTCTGGATACACAATGTGGTTCAAAATGGTTCTAAACTGGGCTTTAAAAATGACTCCAAATCTGTTTGTTGGTTCCCTTCCTTGATGAACTTGAACCTCAAAGAAAGAGTGAAAGACATTCCGTTTCTGCTGCCAGTCTGAGAACGGGACAGATTCCCAGTGAAAATAACCTTCAGTTTCTCCACCACTTCCTCCTTCAGTGAGGCCGTTTGATGCTCTGTTCTTTGGGAGAATGGCCTATCGTCTGCTCCCACCCATGATGTAAATAAAGGTTTTTCTGAGATGCTCCACACTGTATATGAACTAGTGTCAGAACAATCTAACTTGTCTGATGACAGCAATTATGCCATCTATGACCAACGGGTAAAGGTGCTCCTGTCCCCTCATTTGCATGACTGTCCCAGATCCTGGCTCTTCACGGTACATTCGCATCAATTAAATTTTCTCCACATTTCCAACCACAATCTCAAACTTGAAAACTTGCAGCAGGAAGGAATACTAATAAAACCTGAATTTAACACACAAAATGTATCCTTCAAGTGTTTCTGCGCTAGCTGTTTTCACAAAATAACTATTGTATAACCAATGAGAGACTGGGAATAGAATTTGGGATTTTTGAAACATCTTGTCTGATGCATTTTCAAAGGAGAAGCACTTCTTTTCATCAGAAATGGAGAATAAACTTTACAAAAATATTTGAAATATCTGAGAAGATTAGAGGACTATATAACAGTTTATATATATGAAGTCATGAGGCATTCTGAAACATCAGTAGTTTTATGCCCAAATTGTAGCTGACTACATAACTAAACCATGTTTTTCCTTATTAGAAAGCTATCAACGTTGATTTTAAAATCCCTTTTAAATATTCTTTAATGAATCCCCCCTAATTGGTTACATTCCTTCATTCATTTGGTATTTATGTATTATTTTACTCTTTACTCACTAATGCTAGAAGAAGACCTAAAAGTTAAATGTTGGAATTAATGTGAATGCCCTGCACCTTTCAGACTACTTTGGTGGGGTGGAGAGAGGGAAAAAAGAAAGGAAAGGAAGGAAAAATGAGAGATGGATGGGGAAGGAGAGAGAGGGGGAGAGGAGGAGAGAATGTCTAAAAGGAAGGAGAGAAGGAGAAATCAGAGGGGGAGAGAGGGACAGGCTGAGGGAGGGAAGAGAAAAGATGGATGAGCTCCAGGAGGGAGAAAGAAGGGAAGCCAAGCTTAAAATATATAGATAAATAAATAAAGAGACTAACAAAGAAACAAAGCAGGATTCCATTGATCTGAATTAAGACAATTTAAAAACTTTGGCACAACATAAAGCTTCTGTTTTCCCAGCATGCACTTTCCTTTGGGGGTTGCAGATCTAATTACCCTGTGCACCTTTTTTGAGGCATATTTCCTGTTGACAATAGGGTTAAAAGATTTAAAATAACACAATGTGTGATATATCATTCTGGACAATAGCAATTCCATATAGATACTACTTGTCTTGCATCCTACATTTCTATTATTTCTCTTATCAAGGAACTGGAACCTTGTTAATTGGATATACAAGCCTAAGGGAACAAATCAGTTGTTTTTAATTTACTAAATTGGGCTTCGCATCTTGGATCTGGCCACTTATTGACAAGTCTTACTTGATGAGCTCTGTCCACTGTAGAGACTGTCCATGGAGTCACTGGCTTTGAGGGAGACCTTCTCAGTGTGGGTCCCAATCATGGGGTCACTGTTTCGATAATGGGGAGCATCGTCTCCATCTTCCTCATCCTTCAGTAAAACATACCAGAGGTTCAGTGCACAGAAGAGATTTCCATGGAGATGTTTACCATGTGCATTGATTTAATAAACAACACATATTTTAACTATACAGTATTTGGAATATATCAGCATAAAATATGAGCTTCATTAATCTTCTAGTTCAATTCCTAGCAAAACATTTTCCATTATACTTAAGAAAATTCTTTAGATATTCAACTGAAATTTTAATAGTTCAATATTGTAAATTAGGATGAATCGCTTATCAAGATTATTTGACCGGATATTTGTTCCTTATCTATTATTCAGCACCAGTTGTAAGATCCCTTCCAAGTACCAGCTACTGTTTATGTCAAAACAGACATTGCAGCAAACACGTAGCAAACTCTTTGATCTAATGCAGTACGAAGTTAGACTAAATGTGTGTATTTATATGTTCATAGTTTTATATATGTAGGATGAAAGAGACAAAATTCCGTGATGGGAGGCAAATTGGCTATTAGGGATTGGTTGGTACGGATGACTGGTTTAGATAGGTAGCCTTTAAAGATCTCTTAAGTAAGGTACTACATGTTGCAACTTCTTGATTTGAACAACGAAAAGAAGTCATATGTAAAGATTTGGTGACAGTTTTCCTAGTGAATTGTAGCGCAAATGACAAGGATGTAAACTTAGAATATGCTTGGGTTGTGCAGGAGAAAACCACAAATACCGAGGTGGCTGGATCTCAGTGGAGGGAAGGAAGAGTGTTTGGATCTGAGTTTAGAAATGTAGAGTGGAGCCAGCTCATGGGGAGTGTTATAGACCACATGTGGTGGCCAGGGTCATGTACCACAAAGACCTAATTTGCTGCAGAGGCTCTGACTGACAGCCAAGTGACAGTCCTCTAGATTCAGCATGTTTGCCCCAAGGCTGCACTCAAGCAAACGCCGCCATAGCTGGGACACTATTAAAACCATTTTGGCAGAATGTGGGACTCCTGTAAATAAAATTTTGGCTCAAGCACTTCCCATCAATAAGTCCAAAAACTTTCTCAGAAAGTAATATCTGAGACCCTTGTTTCCCAATCTTCTTTGCTTCCCCATCTTTTTTTCCCCCCACAGATGTCAGATGTGCATTAAAAGAATCATTGTATTTGACAACCTTTGGTCATCATTGATATCAACAAGAGTTTAAAAAGGAGGAGCTGTGAATGGAGGTGCTTTTGAAGATGTCTGAAAACACAATGGGTGTAAGACAGACCTATGGAATACAAGTGTTCCATGGCAGTAATAAGAAAGAATAATATTTTAAATAAAGCATCTTAGAACAATTGAATTTTTACAGGCCACAGAATGATGTTGGACTCATAGCACACAGCATAGATAAATTAACGTAAATGAATCACACACCAAAACTTAAGAGCTAAAATGATAAAATTCCTTGAAGAAAACATATAAGTAAATTGTCTATACCTTAGGCTAGCATTGGCTTCTTAGATAAGACTCCAAATGTGTTAGCAACAAGAACCCCATATGAGAACATGAAATGTTCTCAACATCATTAATCATAAAAAAATACATATAAAAACCACAATGCAATTCCATTTCCAACCCACTGAAATGGCTAGAATCAAATATGTTGAGAAACATGTGGGAACTTTAGAATCGTCATCCATTGCAACGGTGAATGGAAAATGAACATGTTCTTAGAAAATGCTGATAATTTCTCAAAATGTCAAACATAGACTATATGTGCATAAGAGAAATAAAACCGAAGACAAAATAAATCCACACAACCATTTGTATTTACAAGCAGTAGTATTATTTCTAGTAACCATTATTATTACTAATACGAATGCACGTGATTGATGAATGGGTGAATAAAATGTGACTCAAAACAGTATTTACCAGAAAAAAAAATAGAAGAAATGAAGTACTGGTTCTGTATGAGACAGCATAGAGGGCATGTTGCTCTTTGCACACCCACTTTGTGATGAATCCAAGTCCCAGTGTCTTCTGTTCAAATGGAAGTTGCAATACTTTCTTCCACACAACTTATTGGCACAATAGTTAAGGAACAAAATAAATGCCCGAGTACCTCATAAAACTTTAAGTGCTTTTACGCCTGGAAGAAGAACCTATTGAATATTTTAAGAAATTTCTAATAGAAAAAAAAATGTAAGTGATTAACAGAGCGCACTTACCTTGTCCTCAGAAAGGGCTTTTATGTATTTTTTACCCATTTTTTTCCTCATGGTCCAGGAAATAGCTCTCATTTTTTTACCCAAACCTCCTTCATTATTTAAAGTTTTTTTTTGTTCTCCATTTTCATTTATGTGTTCACCTTCACATACCTAGGTAGAATTGTGGACAAAAGAGAAAATAGTAAGCAAGAAAAATTGGTCTGAAATCATTATTAAAGAAAAGATTCTGAATTTGTGGGTTTTCTATATTTTATGCTAAATAATCCAGATACCTTATCCATTTTTGAAATTCCAGGTCTAGTTACTTGTATTACCAACTCAAACCGTAGTTTCACATTTGCTATTTGGGCTGTTTTTATAGCTACGTGAAATCACCCTTTCTGGTTGCTTTGGTGTTGTTGCTATAGGCCATGAGTCTGTTTCAGCTCACAGTCACCCCCTGGACGCCAGAATCAAGCACTTCCTGGTCCTGCACCATCTTCACAACTGCTCTTATGTGTGAGCTCCTGTGTCAATCCACTTTGTCCAAGGACCTTCCTCTTTTTCAATGTCCCTCCACTTTCGCAAGCATGATGTCCTTCTCCAGAGACTTGTCTCTCCTGATAGCATGCCCAAAGTGTGTGAGATGAACTCTTGCCTCTAAGAAGCAGAATTGTGCTTCTTCCAAAACAGATCTGATGGATCTTCTGGAAGTCCATGGTACTTTTAGGATTCTTCACCAACACAATCATTCGAATGTATAGATCTTTCTTGGGTCTTCCTTATTCAGTGTCCAATTTTCACATACATGTGAAGCCATTGAAAATATCCTGGCTTGGGTCAGGCAAACCTTATCCTCAAAGTAGCATCTTTGCTTCTCAGCATTTTAGAGATGTCTTGCCCAGCAGATTTTTGTTGGTTTTCAGTTGGCCAAAATAAAATTAAATACCAAGGAGGCTAATGTATATTTATGTCCATATCATTGAGATTTTTTTCTTACTGGATGCTTTAGAAATGGCCACAGCATCAACCTGTGCTGAATGAACATTAAAACATGGTTTTTCTTCTGATAGAAATGGATGCGGTCATATTTAAAGTTAATCAAAGTCATGGAGAAACTCCAAGTTTCTTTCTTTCTTTCCTTCTCTTCCTTCCTTCCTTCCTTCCTTCCTTCCTTCCTTCCTTCCTTCCTTCCTTCCTTCCTTCCTTCCTTCCTTTCTTCATTTTAAGAGGTAGTAAATAAAGAGCACTGATAGCACTGTCAGATCAGTGTTTAGCTGTCAAACCCACCAGCCACTCTGTGAGAGAAAGATAAGGCAATATGCTCTCATTAAAAAAAAATATGGAAACCCTATGAAGGGAGACTGAATTGGAATTCGCTAGGTAGCAATGAGTTTATTATCGTTGGTTTCTGTGTACATACAAATTCCCACATTTTTATATACCTAAATATATACTCGGTTCAGTCATTAACATTTTTCATGTCATTCACAGTGTACTCAGCGAATGCTTTATTTTCTTTTTTCGTTTACATTTTATTCTACTTACGTCTGTTTTATTGAACTAATGACTCCTCATCTAACTTAGACTAAAGCCCATTATTTGTAGCCCATAACTCCCTATAATATAAATATGACTCAATGTAATTAATTTAGTGTTATTACAATGTAGCATGCATATATTATACGACGTCTATGGCATCTGACCTACTATACTCTCTCCATGTCACCCCCAGCAACTTTCAGGCCTCTGTTCCTCACCATCGCAATGGTTTTCAAAACGTGGTCCCCAAACCTGGAGATGCAAACATTATAAATAAACCAACCCTGTTACTGTCCAGTGAATTCTGACTTACAGAGTCCCCGCTGGGCAGAGACCCAAGAAGCCTCCTGGCAGGGTCCCAAGGCTGGAATCTTTACCGAACCAGGCAATCATATCTTTCTCCACAGGGTGGCTGCAGGGTTCAAACTGCTAACCTTTTAGAAACAGCCAAGGGCGTAACTACTGGACTAGCAGGGCTACTTCCTCCTGGGGATTGTTTGGTTTTCAGAGACTCTCCAAGTGATCCAGTTGTTACCTACAGTTAAAAAAAGCACTATGCTATAGTTTTGCCCTATTTGTCCCTTTGCTGTTTCTAACTCACCTTCCTGCCATGTGCACTTGTTACTGTATATAGGTGCCATCAGATCAATTTCCAGTCACAGACACCAGAGGTGACAGAGAAGTTGCCTCCATGAGCTTTCCTTGATTATAATCTTTACAAAGCACTTAGTTCCCCATGTCTTCCTCCTGATGAGCCACTGGATTAGTTTAAACCACCAGACTTTCGGTTAGTAGCAAAGAACTTAATATGTTGTACCACCAGGGCTGGTTTCCCCTAGATATATGTAAATATCTTCCTTCATTTATCTTGCTCTCCACTGACATGCCATGCAGTAGAGGAGACATTTTTTGATAGACTAGCCAGTTTAAAATACCCTATAGTTGCCAATACACACTGTAAGTTTATCCTGATTTATTATTCTGCTAGTCCCTTAACATTACTCAGTGATAATTTCGTTTGTTTGATATTTTTAATTGAGTATTGTCTGTATCTTCCATTATAATGCATGTTCCAAGATCGCAGGGGTTCTATTTATGCAGATCTGCTAGATGCTTCTGGAGTCACTGGATGGCATAAACAGTAAGTGCACAACGACTAGTCAAGAGGTTGGTGGTTCAAACCCACACAGGACACTTTGGAAGACAGGCTAACAATCGGATTCCCGAGGGTCCCAGCGTGGAAACCCTTTGGAGTAGTTCTCGTCTCCGTATGTGGGACCTCCCTGCTCAGAAGAGACTGAACAGCGATAACACAATACGTTCAAGTGCAGAACTGGCCGTCTATATTTTTTGAATGAATCAAACATCTCATGTAGATATTCACAGTGATTACCTATTATGGACGTTTGGGATTGTATAATCTTACTATATCTGATTCTCAAAGGAAGAAAATGTTAAGTCTAGCACCACACAGCACTACTCACCATGAGGCAAGTCATTTTGCTGTTGTTGTTGGTCTCAGAATTAAAAAACAATTAATAGGAAACTTTCTTTTGTGAAACAGATTATTTTCACAGGAAGGTTTAAATACATAGTTAACATCATTATTAATCAATATTATGCTTTACTGCATATCTTACCCCAAATTACCTCTGATAAATGGGAATGGACAGCCAATTTAAGCCCTCATTACACTTTATTAATTTATATATCCAAGGTTATAAAGGCAAATATTCTTTGTTTAAATCAAAATCCCTGAATAAAAAATGAACATGGAAGCATGTTGAAATTTTAGAGTTAAACTTTTTCTTCTCTTTTCTTTCAACATAAACTTCTTCCGTTTTAATTGTAACATTATTTTACCAACTAAAATAAAGAAGAGAGTACGTTATTTTAGTATTGCCTAGGCTAACTCACTATATTAACTAAACTTGTAGAGGACATAGTTTTAATCTGGACATTTTATATCTTTCTTTGCAGAAACTTCCAAGAGTATGCCAAAATGTTTTAAATTATAACAGTTTTCTATCATTGCCACCTAATGATATCCAATTTCATAGCCCAAATCACACTTTTGTTTGAGTGTTTGATTTTGTCTGTTTTTGTTAGCATTTCTCGCTCTCTTTCTAGATTCCAGGCTTCACAAAGGGGTTTTGTTTGTCATTCGGCAGTACTTCCGGAGTGCTTAATAGAAATGGTTTCATAAAATAGACTATAAATAGATATTTGGTGAAAATTTAAATTCTAAATTGCTGAGAAATGTGCAAACCACTCTTTCATGGTTATCAACTTATTCTGAAATTTCTAGGACACTGATATTAATTAATTGGTGGGTATCAAAAATCCTAGGCTACTTTGTAGGTTATTTTATAGTTATCAATTAAAACATAGTGGACTCTGTATCTGTATGGTTATGGAGAAATTATGGTTTATCTATATTATAAAGGAACCTTTGGAGGGATAGTGGTAAGCAATCAACTGTTAACTGCAGTTTACTCTTTCAAAAGCACCAATTACTTAATGGGGAAAATATGACAGTCTATAAATATACATAAAGTTATGGAGCTTTGGAATCCTGATAGGCTAGATCTATGCTGTCCTATAGGATTGCTAAGAGCTGAAATTTGATTCCACAGCAGTGGACATATTATAGGATCGAAACTGAAAGTAAGATTCTATGTGCCTTTTGTTATACATGTGTGTATCACATGTCATAATATAAATATTACAAATGATATAAATATTGATATATATTACTATGTAGGTCTAACAACATTTCCAAATAAGTGTGTGTCTATAAGCAAGTCGGAACCCTGGCGGATCGGTGGCTGCTCCAGGTGGTTTGAGTCCACCGACCACTGTGAGATAGATGCGTCCATCTGCTTCCATAATGATTAGGCTCCAAACCAGATCCTCTGAGATCTAACTCATAGTGACCTTGCAGGACAGCATAGAATGAGTCCTTCGGGCTTCTAAGACTGTTCATCTTAGAAACAAGAGCAGAAACCCTTGTGGTTAGCAGCCCAACTTTAACCCACTAGGTTCCCTCTTGGGTATCCTCTGGGCAATTCCCCTTTGCCCTCGAGGGGGGCTAGGAGGCAGAACTGACTCAAAGCACATGCACTTGTTTGGTTTTATTAAGGCAGGGTGGGGGCAGTAGAAAAACATACAGATGGATAAAAGGGATACATGCAAACATATCTTTATATCAATGTTGACATTTATGAAGTAATATCAGATTCCCTTTGTCCCCATTTCTTTGTCAAGATTATCCAGTACTGGGCTAAACATACTAATCATTAGTAGACATGTAGAATTCCCCCAATTACTTGGGAAATTAGATTAACAAAAGGGAAAAAAACCAACTTTATAACAATGCTGTTATAGTAACTGAAATGTGTAATAAATACTTGTGTAAACTTGAAAATCTAGTGAATAAAATGAATGTAAGGGGCATCAGCGTGTTGCAGAGTAGGCCTTGGACTGGGCATCCCTAGGCCAGTGTCTCACCACCGTCAGGTATTCAGCAAGGAAGCAGAGGAGGCTTTCTGCTCCGGAAAGGACTCACAGTCTCAGAAACCCGAAGGAGGGTGATGATGAGTCGGGTCAACTTAAGATGGTGGGTTTTGGGGTTTAAAGTGAATGTAATTGGGGGTTCCTTCATCAGCTTCAATGGTAAACATATGTTTAACTTTCCCAACACCCTTCCCCTCTGTTATTCCTTTAATTGATTGTTTATTGCTTGTGGCCCAGTTATAAAGTAGTAGAATAAAACGGTAGACTATAGAGTGAAAGGAAAGGCTCAGTTCTGCCTTTGTCGTAATTCAGCTGTCATTTAAGGGTAATTTTACTGAATGGAGCACATTCTTTCAACTTTACAATGAAAATATGATATGTAGGTAAAATGCTTAGTCATGTGCCTGCTTTATTATAATTGGTCAATGAAACATAAATAGTATTAAGATTTTTTTCATTATTATTATTATATAAATCTAACTACATGGGGAGATTTTTTAAAGCTACATTTAAAGTATTTATGATTTGCAAATGTGTCTGTAATAATCACCAGTGAGACATTTCAATCCACCCTTAAGGAAGTAATTAAGAGATCATATGTTCTCCTTAGTAAGTTTACAGTAAGCCACATAACTATGTCCTGATTTAAAATGATTATAACTTACAGAAGATTTGTCCTGCTTTTTGTTTTCTTATGGAAATAGTTGGAAAAGTTGGGATTGTCTGTGTTACTTCGAATGTCTCAAAGTTCATACTGTCCCTTCCCAGGTATCTTCGCTTCTTTTAAATAGCTTTTGATTCCAAACTCCCAGCATATCATCCTGGCTAGGTGATTCCAGCTGACTGACCCATAGTGACCCATGGTGAGAAAGTAGAACCAGCCCCTCGTGGTTTCTTGGCTGCCATTTATAGGGCAGTTGATCATCAGGCCTTGCTCCCACAGAGCTGCAGGGTGAGATGAAGCACCGCCGTGACAGCGGTCAGGCAAGTGAACTAATACACCAATAGGACTCCATGTCCAGTGTGGCACTTCTAAACAATTATTCATGTGTCACAAACATATCTGCAAAACCCATTATTGGCATAGGCATGGATTATTCTGACTGATGTTGGCAAAAGTGACACTGGTGTTGCGTTTTTAATAGGTGTCATAGAGTTGGTTCCAGCCCATAGCAACCCAATGCACACTAGAACAGAACACTGTCTGTCCCATCTTGCCTCATGCTCAGAACTGTTCCTAGTGACTTTGCCTTCAAATGTTTGCATAGTGTATTTGAAGAACATTTATTAAAATAGATTCAAACACTAACCTCAGTTGAGTCATCTGGTTTTGATGTGAAATTATTCCGAAAACGATCAAAATTCCCAAAGCTGCTGCTGCGCTATAAAAAAGGAAAAATAAAGAAAAGTAAACTTAGAGTTTATGCTCTCATTGTTAAAACTGATAATGTAATTGATTATAATTAAGAAGCACCAGTTTCCCTCAAATACTCCTATGACCTCAAAAATGTTTCTGTCTGCATCATCGAGAAGTATTTAAAATGCAATACATATTAATATTTGATATCTTCAGTCCAGAAAATATCTTCATGTTTAATGTGAAAGGGTTAAGTACCTTAGACAATATCTGTTAAATTATTTCTTCATTCACAGTGTTGCATTTGGTGGAAATGGGAACAGAAAAAGCCTAGAGATTCTCAACTGAGCCTTCTTGGAATGAATTGACCACTAACTTATACTTCCAAGAGAGAAAGGTTGGTAGTATTAACCAACTAACCAATCAACCAGCAAACCAATAACAACAAAACCAAGCACGGGAGTAATTTTCCCATTATGTTTCATAGAGTAAGTTTATTGGAAAAGAAACATGAGCACATGTGTAAAATATGTCTACTTAGTGCCTTCCATGGAAAAAGCCTGTCTGTGGGAGAGGAAATAGGAAGACTTTAAAAGGAAGAAGATAGTAGAGTTCCATATCTTCCTCTTGATAATTCGAAACTCTGCTGGAAATCCAAAAAAGACGTCAATTGAAAGTAGCGTTTAGGCATGCAGGGTCTGAGGTTGGTGTAAAAGGGAATCTCTAGATTTAACTTTGAATTGCAATGAGTCTTCTAGACCCTTGTATCATGCACGGAATTTGAGAAAATGCTCAATGTGCTGAAAGAAGATTGTTCCCATGGATACCTTTCACGTACAAAGCTGAATTGTTATTCTTATTCAACACATTTGGGGCAGGTAATTGTAATCACACCCTGATGTGCTACAAAGTAAATGGTTCCCATAACACAGTTGAAAAACATCTTTAGGGTCCCTGAGTCAAAAAATTGATGTTTCCTTGGTATCGATTTCAATTGATACATTGTGTAGGATGGTAGATAGCCGACGGCTGTGTTCTTTGTGTTCCCATAAATCCCAAGAATCTGCTCTAGTTTAAGAAATATATCTCATCTCAAGCTTATCATATTAAAATAACCTAAAATAAATGAGTGCTACTGAAAATAATCTGGCTATTTGAAAAATTAATAATAGGAGTCAGTGATCTATAAAACATTGTATTTGTCTTTCGAGATCACGGCTGATTTAGGGTTAAGTCAGTTTCAATGCTGCAAGTCCTCCAAGCACTCACATACTCGTATCTTCCCACCAGCTATCTTTAAAACTCCTGTTTCCATTTTAAATGAGCTGAAACAAAAAAGAACCTGACATGTGACAAGGGGTTAGCTTGATAGACAGTGTGATGTCGGATACCGCCCCAGGATGATGGCTGTGTTAGACACAATTAACGCCTTTTGCTAGCTTGCCACCCTTGCTGAACAAGCCCTTCAGTTTGGATAAGAGATTCAGAGAAGGGCAGAAATTCAGAACCATGCTGGAGAATGCAGTCTCCTTATGCAGGGCTCACATAACTAGAGTGAACTTCCAGAGCATTAATCACTTCAATTTGCCTTGGAAGCATTTTCGGACCACCATGGTTTCAAGTTCACTGAAGGGAATTGAGTGTATTATTCTCCTGATTACAAACAATCTGAACAAAGATAAAACCTGTTATTCTTTATATACTTGAACCCTTTTTGATGGTCTATGTCTGGGCAATTTTTCTATTCTACATCCACCCTACCACCTGCTTATTAAATATTCATCAAGGTTAAGGCCTAGTTTCCACCACTGGATAATGGGCCACGTTGCTCAGAAGGGCATGGAATAGGCTCACTTCAGCATTTCTCTACACTATCTTCTTCCATTAAGTAATCAATAGTCACCACCTCTTAAAATTAATTCATCCCTTATTATATCAATAACACAAAGCAGATTTAGGGCCAGCAGTTTTAGAAGCACATGGGACTATTACTTTAAGTTTTGTCAGTCATCTCATTACTAATCACTCAGCAGCTTGAAGTCAGAGAAGCATAATATCAATCCATGCTGAGACATGCTCAAGGAACAAAGCTAATGACTTAAAAGGATATTTTTTAAAAATTTGCATTATCCTTTAGATTAAAAGGTAGTGAATTTCTAAGATGGTTTAATAATGTATAAGTTACAGTTTATGATGCAAGATTAAGTTGATAATTTCCATTCCCGTTAAGCTTTCTACAGGAGCGTTCCATAGGGTCACTGTTAATTTGGAACCAACTCTGGCGGTGGGTTCTTGGTTGGTTATGCTTTCTAATGAAGAGTGGGTCTCGTGGATGTAAAATGAGGAATCCTTACTAGATAACACAATCCACAAATGCAGCTCACTGCTGTCTAGGCAATTCCGCCCGCGGTAGCCTCTGGAGTTTGTCAGAACTGCGCTACGGCTTTCTGAGCCACCCTCTTTATGGAAGCTGGCTGTCACATCTCTCCCACTGGACAACGGTGGGTTTGAACTGCGACTTCTGGTCAGCAGTCTAACACTTAACCCACTGAGTCACCCGGAGTGTTTTTCTAGGTGGCCATTCTTAATAAATAAGATTGTGTCTGAATTCAATAATCTGGCATTGTATAACTAATAGATCAGATTTAACAAATACTCTTTTGTGATAGAGTTCTCATCAGGATAAAGTTACTGGGTAACTGAATTATTATCAATGTGAAAAGTAGCTTAAAATGCAATTTATTTCTAAGAAAACAATGTTTATGTTGACTTTAGGTCATATGTTATCTTATTTAGCTATATTATTTATTAAATCTATATAGTCTATCCTACTGTAATTTGCGATATATTTGTAAAATGGTACAGTACTTACAGAGGGAAATTTGACAATATCTAGAAAAATTACACACGTGCATTTACTTTGGCCCAGACATTCCATTTCCAGGTAGTGCTGGTGGCATGGTGGGTTATTCATTGTGCTGCTAACCACAAGGCCAGCAGTTCAAAGCCACCAGGTACTTCAAGGGAGAAAGGGGAGTTCCTCCCATGAAACTTTACAGTGCAATAATCCAACTGAGAAAATCTGCTTTCTCCTCTAGGTTCGCTATGAGTTGGAATCTACTCAGTGACCGTGATTTTGGTGTTTTGAGTATATTAGACACACGCAGGGGTATGATATCCTTTATCCACACGCATTCATTCTAGCAATTTTAGATTAACCCAAAACTGCCAACTATGATGTTTAGTAAAAGGTGTCTGATGGGGAAAAAAAATCTAAGGTAAATGCAAACAGTGGGAATGTAGGCAGCTGTGGAAATATAGCGCTTTATTCTGTTATAGAGTGATTCCCAGATTCTTGTTTTGATTTGCTACATAGTTGGCTCTACTCATGATCTCATATAAGAGAACACAATGTTGACCAGTCCTGTGCCATCTTTGTGATTGTTTGTATATTTGAGTCCTTGTGGTTTTTCTTCTGCCAGTAGTCTTAATTAGGGTTTACATCATTTTTGTTGGCCCTTTACTTTAACAAACACGATGCAGCTGAGGATATGTTCCAGAGTATAAAAGTCAAAGTTTCGCCATCTTGGCTTATAAACAGTATTCAATTTTCATTTCTTTAAGAATTATTTATTCTCTGTCAATTTATGATTTTTTTTTTGCTAAATGCCACTGTTCTTTCAAATACCCACAATTCCTCATGGTCAATAGGTTTCGGTGGAGCTTTCAGACTAAGACAGATTAGGAAAAAAGGCCTGACAAACTACCAGACATTAGCCAATAGAATCCCTTAAAATTTGTCCAGAACATACTGCAAATGGGGGAAAATGGGGAAAATTGTACTTAGTATTACCATTTATCTAGCAGGTGTTGGAACAGTTGTATGTTTAATAGTTAACTGACATGGAGTCTGCATATAGGACTAGCCATTATGATATACAAGGCTTTTCCTGGCTGACTTTTGGAAGCGGTTCACCATGCTTTTGTTTGCAGTCTGTCTTAGCAGGGAAGCTCTCTTGAAGCATGTTCATCACCTTAGCAACAGGACGTCTTCCAGTGATGGATGCACGTGAAGTGCACGGACCAGCAATCACAGCTGGTCTCTTGCAGGCACTGGCCGGATCCCAGCCCTTGGATAATAGTAATTTTCACTAAATGGACTGTCTTGATGTTTAAGTTTAGAACTATGTAAAAGTTTCACTTTTTAAAAAAATTAAGTCAACCTCTAAAGAATCAGCGCAGAAAATTCATAAGCAAAATGAAGGAAATGAGCTCTATTCCATATGTGATGGACTATGCATTTTGAAGGGACCCCTGTGGTGCAGTTGTTTACATATGTGGCTTCTAACGGGAAGTTAGTGCTTCAAACCCACCAGAAATAGATCTAAGCAATGCTCCTTAAGAGCCACTAAAATAAAATAAGAGATTATATTAGAATATGTGATCCATATTCCTGATTAAAAGTCCCTAAAACAACCAATGACATTCTTTCAAAATTAAAATGAAGCCAACAGACCAAATCTGTTTCTAATTCCCAGGATGCAGGAAACGTGGAGACAGAGGAACATGTTAAGGGACACAGAGGATGCAATCAGTCAGAAGAAGTCCAGGCAACGCCCAACTCTCATTTCTCCAAGCAACCAATAGAAAGGGACATTACGGATGAGAAGCCTTTAAGGGTCCTAGCAACCAAATATCATCCATGGACCTTGTCTACAGAGAGATAAAATGAATCACTATGACAAAACATCGAGAAGAGAACTGAGAAAATTTGAAAAATGACTGGTAACTTGGTGATATTCAGTAGTTATTATTGTATGTAATTTAAAATAATTGAGTGAGAGACAGCAAGCATTTGCACATTAAGATGAAACTTCATGAACTATTATTTCATGATAGGTGATGGTTATGAGGGGTAGGTTTTATTCTTATTTATTTTTATATATACTTGAAACTTTCCATATTTATCGGTTGGATTAAAAAATGTGGCTATAAACTAGCCTGAAATCGTACACAGGAGTAATT